ACTCATCACAAGTGCAGTCATGGCTGTGCGAGACTTGTGCACGTCTCAGTAAGCAGCTGACAACAATATTTATACATTTCAGTGTGGTGGTCTCCCCCTGCTGGCCAGTCCCGGTAATGATCCGTCCGGAGAAAAGGTACGACGTGCTCCAGAAATCAGCGAACACACAAAAATACAAAAACACATTAAAGTATGTCAGAGCTACCAATGCTAGTAAAAGGGAAATTCTGTGTCCACAACAACAGCGTAGGCACAAACATTCAGCCACCCTTTATCATTCATTCATTCATTTCCCCACGTCTGGCTGTTTGATGAGTGACTGAATATTCTTTACCCAAATATTAAAAAGCGCACATTTACCCATATCTTTATAACGACAACAAACACACATTTAGAAATGTTTAGTAATGGGAATCTACAAACACATACTTCTAGATAATTGCCGACTTTTTATTCCTTGCATTAGGGATGCACAAATACGTTACTAGTATACCGATACTAGTGCCAAATGCTCCGATGCCTAGGGTGATACTCGAGCTTCCGCTATCAGGAAGCCAGGCAGCGAGTCATTACACGCTGCCCGGCTTCCTGATTGGTCGGGAAGCTGGTCAATCAGGAAGCCGGGTGTCGTGTAATGATGCGGCGCCCAGCTTTACGATTGGCCGGGAAACCGGCTTCATGCTCCCTCATCACGAGGGAGTATGGAGCCGGCTTCCTGGCCAATAAGGAAGGTGGCTTCATGCTTTTTCGTTACCTAGTGACGAGAAGCATGGAGACGGCTCTAATCAGTAAGCAGGGTGGCGAGTCTTTACATGCCGTCTGGCTTCCTTAAAAAGGGACTTCCGGTATCAGTATCAACAAGTATCGGAAAAAAATATTGGTACTCGATACCGAAATACCTTATTTTTCTTTTACTCCCCATTCTTCTGACAGTGGCCATTTTTACTAAGGGCATATGAATACATCTCCCTTTACTGCCGGGAACCCTGAACACATGTGACTAGGACATGTGACCATGCACATCATCTCAGGGGAGGAAAATGCCTTGACCTGAGATCTCGCGAGATTACAGATCAGATTTCCCAGCAATGCTCTGCTGACTTAACCTTCCCGAGATGCAATGCTTGGGGCACAGTACATCACTAATGCCCAAGAGGACCAGGAACTGGAAATACTATTTTAAGTAAAATAAAAATATGTTTAACTAATAAATGTAAGATGATTTCATATCAGCATGCAGAGAGAGTCGCATGCGGAGGTGATTTTTAGTAAAAGGGGGTAAAGTTCCACTTTAAAGGATATGTTCACCTGCCACAAACCTGAAAAGGTAAACTGGGGAAACCCTCCCCCCCCCAGTCACTGCTGTACTTGGCTACTGTAATCACTATCTCCAAGCACATTATAGCTTCACTACGAGACCATCTAGTAACATATCTCTTGCAATGGTGAGCAACCATTGGCCAGAACGGCCACTTCACTGCATTAATAAATGAATCACATGGATCAGAAAAGATTCCTAATGGTCTGCACAGTCACATGGCAAAACTGACCAATAACTGCTTGCCATTGCAAGAATTATCCGGGGCTGTGCATTGCCATTTTGACAAGCGGTGGGGTGGAAACATTAATATGGAACTTTGGAGCCAGTCTATCCCATCCCGGAGCCAGAAGGAAAATGTTTTTATTTCTAGGAGCCAGCTCCATTGACAAAACTCAGCAGTTACATGCCAGCCATAATTCTCAAGGGGTACTGGTGACGCGGCTCCAGGGTCACCAGTAAAAGTGGACCAAAGTGGACCACACCGGCTGGCACTGGGTGGCAAAAGATGGCGATTACAGTAGCTTAGCGCAGTGGGAACCTCAAGGTGGGCTGTGAAAAAGGTGAACATATCCATTAAACACGCCCGGTTCTTTGCCCAAATTGTATATACCAAAACAATAAAACATCCAAGAGGCCCTGGGACTTCAATCCCCATTTATAGAGGACAGTAAAAGGAAACTGACTGTTTGGATGGCTCATTGGCTCTGGTTGGGCAGCTCACAACAAATAAGGCCACCCATCAATGCAGGGGTGAACAACTCAGGACCTCCGGCCGTGATTAAACTACAAATCCCAACATGACTTTGCCCCTGAGATGCCTGTAACTGTCTGTCTTGCAATGCCTCATGGGATTTAACAAGAGCTGTAGAGCCGGAGTTGACCAACCCTGCTCCAATGGGTACTCAGCTTGTGACCCAAAGCACACCCCAAACAAGAGCACCCAGAAAAAATCCATCCCAGGTAACTGAACCTTCTCTGAGATCAGCCTGAGGGTCAGAGTAGCTGATATATTGGATTGTCATTAGATGATCATTAAAAAAAGAGTGTTTTTCCCCATAGTTCTCCTCAGGGTCACGGGAGGACATATACTAGCGTCCTCCCGTGACCCAAAGCTCAGTATATCCCGAGCTACAGCTCGTGGTATGCCGAGACCGCCGCAGCCGGGACGGATCCCCGTCATTACGGTCGACATCCACCCAGCTGTGTGAGTGACAATGGGCTCTGCCTATCTAGAGGCAGAGCCAGCTGTACCCGTCCCCTCCCCCGTCCATTCCGCCAGTCAGTGCTGGAGGATCGGAGAGGGGAACCCCTGTGGGGATCAATGACCGACAGTCACCGCTCTCTGCAGGGAGTTGATCGAGAAGTGAGCGAGGTCCGATCTATTGAGCCGACCTGTGACAGTTTCATTGTCACACGTCAGCTGGAACTATGAGGATGAGTGATTGTCACTCACCTCATAGTTCTCCTTTAAGAGTCAAGTCAAACATCTTATGTCCATATGTACTTGAGGAATCACAGCAGGTTGCCTGCAATCAATTCATCTGCAGAACGTGCCATGCGTTGTCCGTATTGCGGCAGACACATTTGTCAAATATGGAATCTGATTGGTGATTGTAACATGTATAGGAAGTTAAGTGACCATTGCTCACCCACCTAAAATGTACCAATTACACGATTACCTTCTTACCAGGAACACAATTTCACAACTGAATGCTGGAAGACTCCAGGGGCCTGAGATGGTCATCAGTAACACAACAATGCAACAGCAGCAATACAATGGACTTCTCCACGATAGTGTACAAACAAACCACATTCACGTCTGCAACCTGAGCTTCTGTAAAGAGGATCCATCACCGAGAAAAAAGCATCTGGACAGGCAACACAGGACAAAAAAGATTCTATCAAGCCTGTCAATGCCAAGATTCCAGTGGCCGTCACATTAACATATAGAACAGTTCACTCCACATGGACCTTATGGCCACTGTTGGCACCCTATGGCCACTCATGAACACTCAATGAATGCCCCTTTCAGGCATGTCTGTTGTTATTACCGCAATTGTGTTAAGGCGGTCTATTCGTTTTTAATGGGCTGCAAAATCTGGACACATCTTCCTTCCAAAACCACCGCACCACAATGCACAAATGATGTTCACCCTCCCTGGTTGTTCTAGAGTCCATTGTTTCCAGGCTAGAAGGTCACGGTAAAGCCAAGATTGTATCTGCTTTCAACGGAACTAAAGGTGAGGGAGATTCATCCAATCTGGTTCTGGTGACAAATCTCTAAGAGGAGATTTGTCGCAATAGAGGGATATCCTCTCACTTCCCGTTAGGACTTTAGTTGAATCCTTTAAGGTTTTTACTCCCCTCTATTTGCACCCAATAATCCTGCAAATAAAAAAAACACTTCTGGTCCTTGTGACGGACCTCGGTACTCAGTAGGGATGCACCGATACCGATACTAGTATCGGTATCGGTGCCGATACCAAGCATTTGGGTGAGTACTCCTACTCGCCCAAATGCTCCGATACCTAGCATGAGTACTTCCTGTATCAGGAAGCCGGGCAGCGCATCATTACACGCTGCCCAGTTTCCTGATTGGCCAGGAAACGGCTCCATGCTCTCTCGTCACTTGTGATGACAGAGCATGGAGCCGACTTCCCGGCAAAAGAGGAAGCGGGGTAGCGTGCAATGCCGCTCTGCCCGGCTTCCCGATTGGTCAGGAAGCTAGCAAATCCGGAAGCCGGGCGCCGTGTAATGACGCAGCGCCCGGCATTCTGATTGGCCGGGAAGCCGGCGTCATGCTCCCTCGTCATCTCATGAATCATAATATTAAGAAAGTGACCTTAAAGGATTAGTTTGTATTGCTTTAGAAAAAATGTGACCTGTCCCTTTAAGAAAAAGTATCGGTAATTGGTATCTGCGAGTACTTGAGCAAAAGTATCGGTACTCGTACTCGGTCTTAAAAAAGTGGTATCGGTGCATCCCTAGTACTCAGGATAAGTATGTCCGCCGCTGTATTCTTCCTTGCTGAGGAGATATTGCAACCCGCTGATCTGTAGCTCCCAGTTTCCCCAGTCACTGGTCGGGACCGAGCGTAGGGTAAAACAAACTCATTTATTGAGCAACTGCACAAACTTTTATACAGCAAGTGATGAGATCAGATTATAATCCCATCAAATCCCCCCTCCCCAGACAATCGGTCTGCTCAACACCACAGGGCTTCCCCTGCTAACGAGCTCCAGTACAATGGGAGATAACGAGGGATGGTGCTGATAGTCTTTTCATAACCAGGTTACACAGTATAACGCACTCAAACATAACTCAACACCAATACACATATAACTCCTAAAACTGATCACCATGTCGTCACAGTCCTCGGATGACAATTCTCTGTGCTGCCGGATACGGCCGTGCACGCCGCACAGATCCGGCCGTTACCCGTGTGAATGAGGGCTACTGCTGGAAGGCACCCCCTTACCCGTTCAATCAACAGAACATCACAACAGGTTAATCTGAAGACTTGCCTGAAAACCAATCATTTGTGTTAAATCCTCAGGAGAATATTTCCATTTTGGGCTGTCAATGGCAGGCACTTTACAAAACATTAAAAAGGATCAACAAAATGTGCCATCTTTAATCCCGATTTAACAACGTTATTAAGTCATAGTTAAGCACTTACCATAATGTGATTGAAATGCTTGCGGCTTTATGACCTGATTACATTGGCTACACACAACTAGATAAAACTCATCGTAGGCCGGGCACAGTCCAAATATCGGCATATCTGTAAAAATCAAAATGAGGGCATCCTTTAGAGTGATACATATGAGAGCAAATTAGAGATGACTAAATCACATTTAAAAATACACTGCGGTCATCAACTGCCAGTCTGCGGCAGCTAGAAAATGTGAAAAACAAATTTTATTAACCTTTATGGTGTTTAGGGTCTCAAATACAGTTGTCAGGGTGAAATCTACTTTATTCTAACTTCGAGAAACTTTACACATATCTTCAAAACAACAACAAACACACCTTTAGAAATATTTAGTGATGATAATCTACAAACACATATTTCTAGATAATTGCCGGCTTTGTATTTTATACATACCTTAATTTTCTTTTCTTCCCCAGTCTGACAGTGGCCATGTTTACTAAGGGCAGGTTACTAGATCTCCCTTTACTTCCTGGAACTCTGGCACATGTGACTAGGACATGTGACCGTGCAAATCATCTCAGGGGTGGAAAATGCCTTTCCCTGAGATTACAGATGAGATTTCCCAGCAATGCACTGTTGATGTAACCTTCCCAGAATGCAATGCTTGGGCATATTACATCATGTGTGCCAAAGAGGACCAGGAAGTGGACAAAAAAAAAGGAATTGTAAGTAAAATAAAAATAGGTTTGTTTAGCTAATGAATGTAAGATGATATCACATCAGTATACAGATAGGAATTTTAGTGAAAGGGGGTAAAGTTCCACTTTAACATAATTCCAAGTTAGCACCATGTCGTCATATTCTGAATGCCTTTAAAGATCCCCAGTCAGCAATGGGAATCGGTGAGAATCTAAATTGTGTAATCCTGATAGTGTCTTTGTTGTCTGACAGTTTTAGACCCCGTTCACTCTGAGCGATGTCAGCTCCAAAAATCGCTCAAATATCAGCTCAATGTAGCTTGTCCAATGCATTTCAATGGAGCTGTTCACATCTCACAGCTCAATGTCACCTGTAGCTCGTCGCTCAAGCTTGTAGCTCGAACATGACCTATTTTTCAGGCGATTTGGCCCAATAGACTTGATGCCGCATTCACAAGTAGCGACACTCACCTCGAGCGGATTTCCTCGCGGCGGGATAGCGCGACTGTTCGGGCGACGATCGCTCAACCTTCACCGTCGGGCTGCATTCACAAATAGAAAGATCCGCGGGAAAAAGGGTCCTGCGACAGCAACATGGAGCTGTACATTACAACAGCTCCATTGAATATCATTGGCCGGTGAAAAATGTGCGATATCGCGGGATTCACCGCTTAGTGTGAATGGGGCCTAATGGTGTAGCTCATTGTCGCACTACGTTGCGCTACAAAAGTGTCACTTTTGCACAGAAATATAAGAAGGAAGGAATAATGTCACATCAAGACTGCTTTTGATTGACTGCACCGCCCAATGTAGCAGCTACGAAGTCCCTACGAAAAGTTGCACTACGTAGCGCGACAAAATGTGTAGCTCAATGTCGCTCAGCTCAATGTCGCTTTTTTGGATGTAGCTCAGTGTGAATGGGGTCTTATTAGGGTATATTGACTGAGCTCAGGTAGGAGACAGGACAGACCTAGTGGGTGCCTTAAAAGAGAACTATGGGGCAAGTGATTTCCACTCATCCTCATAGTTAGAGCTGACCTGTGACAAAGAAGTTGTCACAGGTCGGCTCTATCGATCGGGAAGTGAGCAGAAACATGCAGCCGATCCGCTGCCTTCCCGATAGTCTCCCTGCAGTGAGCGTTGACAGTCAGTCACTGCTCCCTGCAGGGATTCCCCTCCTATCCTCCAGCAATGACTGAAGGAACGGACGGGGCGGGGGGGTGGTCACAGCTGGCTCTTCCTCTAGATAGGCAGAGCCACATGTCACTCACGCAGCTGGGTGGAACTCAACTCTATTGTCAGGATCCGTCCTGGCTGCGGCGCTCTCAGTGTACCGCGGGCAACAGCTCTCTATATACTGAGCATTGGGTCATAGGAGGAGGTTAGTATATGTCCTCCCGTGACCCTAAAGAGAACCATGGGGAAAAACACTTACCCCATATCTCTCTTTTAATATTTGACATTCAAAACTTGCATGGACAGGAGAGAACACAATGAAGAAAGGGGCCCTATCCTGTCAGAGGTTCTTTTTTGGTTTGGTAATAATTTATTACACTTACTTTTTTATTAGAATTAAAATTGATACATTTTACAGGCCTATAAAACATTACCAGAATGTAACATTATCCTACAAATAAAGAAAAAACAAAGAGCTCAGCCAAAGCTACAATGTGGGAAGTGTGCTGCTCACACAACATTTATTAAACACGTTGTCTTATTTCCTGGCTTCACGTTGTGAGCTACTAAGCACAGCATGGTCGGGTCACCAAGTAACTGAATCAGCCCCGCAGTCAATATTTACTTACACTGTCAGCAACCATGATCATCACCTCTGACAAAGTCAACAGTGACTTATCAAACAGATTGGAGGTTCCAGCGATACCGGGACAATGCCACTGTGTGATCAATCCAACGCATCTGTACTACGGCGGATTGTTCTTGGGAAAGAAAGCATGGCCGTGGAGTAATGACAGGCAACTGGACAGAAGAATTTTCCTATTTATAGAACAACGCTGAAATCCTAAAGGAATTCCAGATGTGGCCGAAGCAGGGACTGCGCCGTTACCTTCAAACAGGATGCAGCTGCGGAGGTTCATGAATGACACAAGTTTGAATCCTCGCCATATACAGGACAATGTGCACGCAATTTTACCGATTTCAGCCAGATTTTATTCAACAACCTCTCGGATCAAGATACCATACCGGCAAGGGTTCGGATAAAACTGAACGGATCAATGCTGGCTGAAAATTGCCATACAACTCCTGTCAGTAAGGCGAGCATGAAGAGGAGGTCCAAAAAATTACAATCTAGTTACACATTCATTAACCACTTGCTGCCTGGAGCAATTTCTTACATTTGCGCACACATGATAAAATTTCTGGCTAGAAAACAGCTTCAGACCCCCAAACAATGATATATTTTCTGAAAGCAGAGACCCTGTAAAATAGTTGCAATTTATGCACGGTAATTGCTCAAATGTTTATCAAACAAGTATTTTTAGGATAAAATACACTGAAAGTGCACAGGAACAGAATATAATGCCCAATTTGTTGGTAAAATATAAAAGACGGGGTCACGCCAGGTAAATAGATACCAAACAAGTCAAGCCTTAAAATTGCGTGCGTCCGTGAAACCGCACAAAACTACAATAACCAAAATTTCCCATAGGCGACACTTTAAGTGCTGGTTCACACCTGACCGTTTTGTAGTGCGTCCTACGCTCGATGTGCCTGTTTATTTTTATATAAAATTTTAAGCTAATTTAACAATTAGTTTTTTGTGTTTTTTTATGAGGTTTAACACAAATTGTATTCAATTTATGATCTCTTATTTGTAGTTCCACAAACCGGTGTAGCTCCCAGATTGTCGATCACAGCTCGCTGCATGAGCAAATCGCCAGCTGACAGTGTTTATATGTAATTGGTGATTGATATGTACTGATTTATATTCAGAAATTAGTACACATTAATAATTAATTTCATACCTATAATTTCATACAAATAGCTCCAAAACGCGCGTTTCTAATGTAAAAAAACGCACTAAAAACGCACATGAAAACGCACCAAACTCCGGGACGAAAACGCGCGTGTGACGCGCTTATGCAATACGCACAGGTGTGAACCAGGCCTAAAGGAGAACTATGGGGTAAGTGTTTTTCCCCATAGTTCTCCTCAGGGTCACGGGAGGACATAGACTAGCGTCCTCCCGTGACCCAAAGCTCAGTAGCCCGCGAGCGGAGATCGCTGCTGAGAACTGAAATCGATGCAGCCGGGACGGATCCCGACATTACTGTCGAGATCCACCAAGCTGCGTGAATGACAGCTGGCTCTGCCTATCTAAAGTCCGATCCTCCAGTCAGCGCTGGAGGATCGGAGCGGGGAGAGGGGGAATCCCTGCATGGAGCCGCGAGTGACATTCACGTCTCTCTGCAGGGACATGATCGAGAAGTGAGCGTGCCACGTTATGCGTTCGCTCACTTCCTGATCTATTGAGCCGACCTGTGACAGTTTCATTGTCACACTTCGGCTCAAACTATGAGGTCGAGTGAGAATCACTCGCCTCATAGTTCTCCTTTAATGCGATTGCGATCACATAGGAGGCTAACAAGGACAGTGTGCTTGTGCTAACAAGGGGCCGACTAGCAAGCTACTAAAGCTTGGCCCAGTGGGAGATTCCTCCATGCACACAGTTTAGTGTAGATGGAGGAATCTGTTGCACTTTTCCCATCTGACCATAGCAAATCTGCAGATAATCTATACGTGTATGACCAGCTTTATCAAGCATTGCAAGGCATGGACAATAAACATGCTTTTCATTGCATTTCATCCACTCGGGTCTTGATAAAACCACATCATCCACAGGTTGTGTTTTTTTTTGGTATCTGCTTTGCATTGTTCTTTTTAAAGGATTTTGTTTCAATATTCCCCCTTTAATTTATGTCTTTTATTTCAGCCTGGTGTTTGCTTGAAGAAATCGATGACTGTTCGCGCTGCAAGCAATGAAACCAAATTATGCATTGATGATCTCCACAATGCATCTTCCATCCCGCTGCACAACGCGAGAACATGAGAAACACTACGTATGTCAGCCGTGCTCACAAGAGCTTACAATCTAATTCAGAAGGAAAAGATACAAGAGGTTGCGGGGGACAAGGAAATACCAACACAATGCAAAACCCTATTTTGCACAGAGCTTGAGCCTAGGTCAGGCCCTGCAAGACCGATTAGACGTTTGTTTCAGGCGGCGAGCTGCTGCTGCAGCATCAGGTAAGAGATAAGAAATGTGACAGGCAGACACTGAGCCGAGTCTAGGGGGAACGCCTACTTTGACCTACATGTAGAACAGCTGCAACTTTCACACACTCGCTCTCTCTGCACCCTGGATGGGGGAAGGGAACATTTAGGCATTCCAATACACAGGAGAAGCACAGG